GGGGGGGGGTCTGGGGGGGTCTGGGGGCTGCCATCATCATCATGGAGTGCACGTGAGTAGGAGGCTTGGGGGTCTGTCAGTTGTGGAGTGGAAGTGAGTGGGGGGCTCAGGGGGTCTGGGGGCCTCGGGGACCCCCCACTCCTGCCGCCCCCCACTCCCCCCCAGGCCCTTCGACATCCTCATCCTCGCCACCATCTTCGCCAACTGCGTGGCCCTGGGGGTCTACATCCCCTTCCCCGAGGACGACTCCAACACCTCCAACCACAACCTGGTGGGCGCCCCCAGACCCCCCGGAGCGGGGGGTGCCCCCCACCCGGGCACTGCCCCTGGGGGTCTCGCTGGTCCCGGCTGGGGGCTGGGCAGGGGTGGGGGTGGCACCGAGGGGTGGCACCTGGGGGGGTCCCTGTGTCACCCTGGCGAGGTGGCACCGGGGGGTGGCACCGGGGGGTGGCACCCTGGGGTGGCACCGGGGGGTGGCAGGGCTGAGGGGACGCGGGGGGGTCCCCGTGTCACACGTGTCCCCTGGCACGCCTGCCTTAATCCGCTTTGCCGCCGGGGCCGGGGGATGAGGGGGGGTTAATCCCGGCTGAGCCGCCCCCGTCACCCACAAAGGGGACACGGGGAGGGGGCTGCGGGGGGCCCGGATGTCCCTGTCCCCAAAGGGAAGGGGGTGCAAGGGGGGTCCCAAGGGTCCCTGTCTCTTGTCCCCAAAAAGGGACAAATATCCCTGTCCCATTCCTCAGGAGAAGGGGATGCTGGGGGGGGAACCCCAAATGTCCCCGGGGGATCCTGGGAGAGGGAACCCCAAACGTCCCCAGGGGATGCTGGGGGGGAACCCCAAATGTCCCCAGGGGATGCTGGGAGGGGAACCCCAAATGTCCCCAGGGGATGCTGGGAGGGGAACCCCAAATGTCCCCAGGGGATGCTGGGAGGGGAACCCCAAATGTCCCCAGGGGATGCTGGGAGGGGAACCCCAAATGTCTCCAGGGGATTTTGGCAGGGGATCCCCAAATGTCCCCGGGGGATGCTGGATGGGGTGATGATGTTTTCAGGGTGGTTTTGATGGACTTTTTGGGGATATTTTAGGGCTGGTTTTGGTGGGTTTTTTGGGGATGTCTCAGGGATTATGGGATATTTTTGGAGGGGGGTTTTGGGGACATTTCAGGGGTGTTCTGGTGGTGTTTTGGGGTTGTTTTTGGGAAGGTTTCAGGGGTCAGTGAGGGTCCTCAAAGGTCCCTGATCCCCAGGGAAGGGGACACTGAGCAATGAGGGGGTTTGGGGTTATTTTTGGGAAGGTTTCAGGGGTCCTCAGATGTCCCTGATCCCCAGGGAAGGGGACACTGAGCAATGAGGGGGTTTGGGGTTATTTTTGGGAAGGTTTCAGGGGTCCTCAAAGGTGCCTGATCCCCAGGGAAGGGGATGCTGAGCAATGAGGGGTTTTGGGGTTATTTTGGGGGAGGTTTCAGGGGTCAGTGAGGGTCCTCAAAGGTCCCTGATCCCCAGGGAAGGGGACACTGAGTGATGAAGTGTCCTGAAATGCCCTCCTGGAGAAGGGGTCAGCGTGTCAGGGGAGGGGGCGTCCCCAAAAGAGGAAGGGGACCCTGGGTGACCCCGTGCACCCCTGGAGCAGGGGGTGCTGACCCCCCCACGCCCACCGTGCCCCCCCAGGAGCAGGTGGAGTACGTGTTCCTCATCATCTTCACGGTGGAGACGTTCCTGAAGATCATCGCCTACGGGCTGGTGCTGCACCCCAGCGCCTACATCCGCAACGGCTGGAACCTGCTGGACTTCGTCATCGTCATCGTGGGGTCAGGGGCTCTCCGGGCACGGGGACGGCCTGGGGAGGGGGGCACGGAGCCCTGTGACCCCCGTGGTGTCCCCCCCGCAGGCTGTTCAGCGTGATCCTGGAGCAGGTGTCCCACAAGCCGGGCGATGCCCACCACATGAGCGGCAAGCCGGGCGGCTTCGACGTCAAGGCCCTGCGCGCCTTCCGCGTGCTGCGCCCGCTGCGCCTCGTCTCCGGCGTCCCCAGTGAGACCCCGGGGGGAACAGGGGGGATTTAGGGTCCCCTCAGCCTCCTGCCAACCCCCCCGTGCCTTCCCCAGGCCTCCACATCGTGCTCAACTCCATCATGAAGGCGATGGTGCCGCTGCTGCACATCGCGCTGCTCGTGCTCTTCGTCATCATCATCTACGCCATCATCGGCCTCGAGCTCTTCATCGGCCGCATGCACAAGACCTGCTTCTTCATCGGCTCTGGTAGGCACGGGGGGCTCACCCCGTGGGGCCCCCCCAGCCCTGGGGCACCCCCGGAGTCCCTCAGGGCTCCCAGGTGCTCCAGCCTGGGGACTGGGATCCCACAGGGACAGCCCACGCTGAGGCTCCCCTAAAACCCCTGAGACCCCCAGAACTGAGCATCCCCCAGGGACACCCCACACTGAGACCCCCCTAAAACATCTGAAACCCCCCCCAGAACTGAGCACCCCCCCAGCACTGAGACTCCCCCCCCCACCACTGAGCACCCCCCAGCACTGAGCACCCTCCAGGACACCTCACACTGAGGCGCCCCTAAAACTCCTGAGACCCCCCCAGCACTGAGCACCCCCCAGGACATCCCAGCAGGGTTCTGGGGTTCCTTAACACACTGAGACCCCCCCTAAATTCCCTGAAGATTCCCCTCAGGGCACCCCAGCAGGGTTCTGGGGTTCCTTAACGCACCAAGACCCCTCTCAATTCCTGGAACACCCCAGCAGGGTTTTGGGGCTCCTTAACACACTGAGACCCCCCTAAATTCCGTGATTACCCCCCAGGACACCCCAGCAGGGTTTTGGGGTTCCCAGCACACCCCTGAGCCCCTGCAATGTCAGGGGTGTGAGTAGGCAGGAAGGACAAGAGTGGGGACAGCAGCTGAGTGCAGGTGAAAGAGAAGCTTGGGACAGGGATGGTCAGCAGGGACAGGAATGGTCAGCAGGGACAGGGATGGTCAGCAAGGACAGGAATGGTCAGCAGGGACAGGGATGGTCAGCAGGCACAGGGATGGTCAGCAGGGACAAGAATGGTTAGCAGGGACAGGAATTCTCAGCAGGGACAGGAATGGTCAGCAGGGACAGGAATTCTCAGCAGGGACAGGAGTTCCCCACGGGGCCCGGAGCTCTCAGTGGGGTCCGGAGCTGGACACTGAGACCCCCCCTAAATTCCCTGAAGATTCCCCTCAGGGCACCCCAGCAGGGTTCTGGGGTTCCTTAACGCACCAAGACCCCTCTCAATTCCTGGAACACCCCAGCAGGGTTTTGGGGCTCCTTAACACACTGAGACCCCCCTAAATTCCGTGATTACCCCCCAGGACACCCCAGCAGGGTTTTGGGGTTCCCAGCACACCCCTGAGCCCCTGCAATGTCAGGGGTGTGAGTAGGCAGGAAGGACAAGAGTGGGGACAGCAGCTGAGTGCAGGTGAAAGAGAAGCTTGGGACAGGGATGGTCAGCAGGGACAGGAATGGTCAGCAGGGACAGGAATGGTCAGCAGGGACAGGGATGGTCAGCAAGGACAGGAATGGTCAGCAGGGACAGGGATGGTCAGCAGGCACAGGGATGGTCAGCAGGGACAAGAATGGTTAGCAGGGACAGGAATTCTCAGCAGGGACAGGAATGGTCAGCAGGGACAGGAATTCTCAGCAGGGACAGGAGTTCCCCACGGGGCCCGGAGCTCTCAGTGGGGTCCGGAGCTGGGTGAGGGCAGTGAGAGGCAGCAGGGCTGTCACCAGGGCCCGCTGTCACTGTCCCCAGACCTGGAGTCCGAGGATGACCCCTCTCCCTGCGCCTTCTCGGGGCACGGCCGCGCCTGCCTGCAGAACAACACCGAGTGCCGCGGCCGCTGGGAGGGGCCCAACGGCGGCATCACCAACTTCGACAACTTCTTCTTCGCCATGCTCACCGTGTTCCAGTGCATCACCATGGAGGGCTGGACCGACGTGCTCTACTGGGTGAGACCCCCGAGCCCCCCAGAATGCTCATAACTCCTTTCTGAGCCCCCCAAATCCTCATAACCCCTCCCTGAGCCCCCCAAATCCTCACACAAATCACTGAGCCCCCACAAATCCAGTGCATCCCCATGGAGGGCTGGACTGACGTGCTCTACTGGGTGAGACCCCCGAGCCCCCCAGAATGCTCATAACTCCTTTCTGAGCCCCCCAAATCCTCATAACCCCTCCCTGAGCCCCCCAAATCCTCACACAAATCACAGAGCCCCCACAAATCCAGTGCATCCCCATGGAGGGCTGGACTGATGTGCTCTACTGGGTGAGACCCCCCCCAAAATCCTCATAACCCCTTTCTGAGCCCCTCAAAATCCTCACACAAATCACTGAGCTCCCCAAAATTCTCATAACCCCTCCCTGAGACCCCCCAGAATCCTCACACAAATCACTGAGCTCCCCAAAATCCTCACAACCACTCCCTGAGCCCCTCAGAATCCTCACACAAATCACTGAGCTCCCCAAAATTCTCATAACCCCTCCCTGAGACCCCCCAGAATCCTCACACAAATCACTGAGCTCCCCAAAATCCTCACAACCACTCCCTGAGCCCCCCAAAATCCTCACACAAATCTCTGAGCCCTCCAAATCCTCACAACCCCTTCCCGAGCCCCCCAGAATTCTCATACAAATCTCTGAGCCCCTCCAAGTCCTCACACCCACCAACACCCCCCAAAATCCTCACACAAATCACTGAGTTCCCCAAAATCCTCACACAAATCTCTGAGCCCTCCAAATCCTCACAACCCCTTCCCGAGCCCCCCAGAATCCTCATACAAATCTCTGAGCCCTCCAAATCCTCACAACCCCTTCCCGAGCCCCCCAGAATCCTCATACAAATCTCTGAGCCCTCCAAATCCTCACAACCCCTTCCCGAGCCCCCCAGAATCCTCATACAAATCTCTGAGCCCTCCAAATCCTCACAACCCCTTCCCGAGCCCCCCAGAATCCTCATAACCCCTTCCTGAACCCCCCAAATCCTCACACACATTGCTGAGTCCCCCAAAATCCTCACACAAATCTCTGAGCCCCTCCAAGTCCTCACACCCACCTTGACCCCCCAAAATTCTCACACTCATCCCTGATCCCCCAAATCACTCCAGGGCCAGGGCAGAGCCCCAGACCTCTCTGCTGGGAGTCCCTGGCCTCACCTGAGGAGGGATTTGGGGGGACCCCATCACCCCAAATCTTCCCCCACAGATGCAGGACGCCATGGGCCACGAGCTGCCCTGGATTTACTTCGTCAGCCTCGTCATCTTCGGCTCCTTCTTCGTCCTCAACCTGGTGCTGGGGGTGCTGAGCGGGTGAGGAGCCGGCAGCGGGGCTGAGGGTCAGCAGTGGGGTGTTCGTGGCGTGTTTGGGGTCACACCTGTGCCCCCTGCCCAGGGAATTCTCCAAGGAGAGAGAGAAGGCCAAGGCCCGTGGGGACTTCCAGAAGCTGCGGGAGAAGCAGCAGCTGGAGGAGGATCTGCGGGGCTACATGGACTGGATCACCCAGGCCGAGCTGGAGGGCGACGAGGAGGACGGGGAGCATGAGAAGCACCGTGAGTGGGGCTGGGGGGCAGTTGTGGGGGGAACCCCAAAATCCTGAGCCCCCCCAGAGCTCTGTGACCCTTCTTTCCCACAGGTCTGACCGCCGAGGACCTGATGGGGAAGCGGAAGCCGCGGCTGAAGTGGCTGCGCCACACGAGTCACTCGACTGACACCCACGGTACCCCGGGCACCCCAGATCCCCCAGAGCTGGGCACCCCAAATTCCCTGAACCCAAACACCCCAGATCCCCCAGAGCTGGGCACCTCAAATTCCCTGAACCCAAACATCCCAGATCCCCCAGACCTGGGCACCCCAGATCTCCCAGAGCTGGGCACCCCAGATCCCCCAGACCTGGATACCCCAGATCCCCCAGACCGGGGCACCCCAAATCCCCCAGACCGGGGCACCCCAGATCCCCCAGAGCTGGGTACCCCAAATTCCCTGAACCCAAACACCCCAAATCCTCCAGACCAGGGCACCACAAATCCCCCAGAGCTGGGCACCCCAAATTTCCCGAACCCAGACATCCCAAATTCCCTGAGCTGAGCACCCTTAAATCCTCCAGACCTGGGCACCCCAAAACCCCCAGACCTGAGCACCCCACATCCCCCAGACCTTGGCACCCCAAATCCCCCAGACCTGGGCACCCCAAATTCCTTCAGACCTGAGCACCCCACATCCCCCAGACCTTGGCACCCCAAATCCCCCAGACCTGGGCACCCCAGATCCCCCAGACCTGGATACCCCAGATCCCCCAGACCGGGGCACCCCAAATCCCCCAGACCGGGGCACCCCAGATCCCCCAGAGCTGGGTACCCCAAATTCCCTGAACCCAAACACCCCAGATCCCCCAGACCTGGGCACCCCAGATCCCCCAGAACTGGGCACCCCAAATTTCCTGAACCCAGAGATCCCAAATTCCCTGAATCCAGGCACCCCAAAATGCCCCAGACCTGGGCATCCCAAATTCCCTGAACCCAGATTCCCTGGATCCAGACATCCCAAATTCTTTGAATCCAGACACCCCAAATTCTCTGGACCTGGGCACACCCAGATCCCCTGAACCGAAGCTCCCCAAATTCCCTGAAACTGAGCATCCCAAATTCCCTGAATCCAGACCTGAGCACCCCGAATTCCCTGGACAGGGACACCCTCAAATTCCCTGAACTCAGACACCCCAAATTTCCTCAACTCAGACCTGAGCACCCCCAAATTCCCTGACTCCAGACCTGAGGACCCCGAATTCCCTGGACTGGGCACCCCCAAATTCCCTGAACTCAGACCTGGGCACACCCAAATTCCCTGGCCCCAAACACTCCAAATTCTTCACACCTGGGCACACCCAGATTCCTTAAACACAGACCTGGGCACCCTGAATTCCCTGGACTGGGCACCCCCAAATTCCCTGAACTCAGACCTGGGCACACCCAAATTCCCTGGCCCCAAACACTCCAAATTCTTCACACCTGGGCACACCCAGATTCCTTAAACACAGACCTGAGCACCCTGAATTCCCTGGACTGGGCACCCCCAAATTCCCTGAACTCAGACCTGGGCACACCCAAATTCCCTGGCCCCAAACACTCCAAATTCTTCACACCTGGGCACACCCAGATTCCTTAAACACAGACCTGGGCACCCTGAATTCCCTGGACTGGGCACCCCCAAATTCCCTGAATACAGACACCCCAAATTCCGTGACTCCAGACCTGAGCACCCTGAATTTCCGGACTGGGCTCCCCACATTCCCTGACCCCAGGTACCCCAAATTCTTTGGACCTGAGCATCCTGAATTCCCTGGACTGGGCTCCCCACATTCCCTGACCCCAGGTACCCCAAATTCTTTGGACCTGAGCATCCTATGTGTGCCCCCCCGGGCTGACGTGTGCCCCCCACCCCAGCCAGCCTCCCGGGCAGCGAGACCACCTCGGTGAACACGGAGACCGTGGGCGAGGAGGAGGCGCCGCCGACCGCCTGCGACCGCTGCCTGTGAGCCCGGCGGGACCCCCGACCCCCGGGATCCCCCAGGGACACGGCCCGGATCCCTGTGACACCCCACAGATCCCGGGGACCCCAAACCCGGCACCTACAGCGCCTCAGCCCCCCCATGTCCCCCCAAAACCACTCACAGCTGGAGCGGCCCCAGTCCCAGAACAGAGACCCCAGAAGTGACCCCACAGCACCTCAAAGCCCTCTGAGACCCCTCCATACCCCACGGACCCCCCCATGCTCCCTCCAGGACCCCAAAACCGACCCCAGCACCCCTAAGATCACCCCCAGGTACCCCAACCATGGATCCTCTAAGCCCCTCACAACCAAATCTGACCCCAACACCCCAAAAAAGCCCCCCCATGGCCGAGGGACTACCCCAGAATCCCCAGATTTTGGGGTAATTTCTGCTTTTCTCTCCTCAGGGGCAAAATTACAAAGACAAAATTCTGGTGAGTGGGGAGAAAAATGGGGGGGGGTGTGGAAAAAATGGGGGGAGGGCCGCAGTGGGGCCCCCCTAAAGCCTCCCAAGCCGTCCCACTGACAGGGACTCTGTCACCCCCCACCTCCCCCCTCCCCAAAATCCCACTGCTCCTACGTCCCCCACCCCCTCTCATCACCCTGTACCCCGAATTCCTCCACGTTCCCCAAAACACCCCAAATTCCCCCCTCCTTGTCCTTCCCTACCCCCAAATCTGCCCTGCCCCAAGGGAAATATGGGTTGGATCTTAGGAAAAATGGTTTTTGTGGAAAAAAATGGGTTTTTAAAAGCCTGGGTGTGGCTGGTTTGGGTGAGGTTTTAGCGCTGGAGAGACTCGATCTTTTCTGATTTTTTGTGACCCCTCATTTCCCCCCCCAACCCAACCCCCCCTGCCCTCCTCCCGCGTGACGGGGGGGATTTTTCTGTCCCCCCCCGGGTCCCCTGTGTCCCCCGACCCCTCTGGGCGCCCCGCAGCCGCCGCCTGCGCCGCCTGAACCGCCTGTGGCGCCGGCGCTGCCGCGCGGCCGTGAAATCCGTGTCCTTCTACTGGACCGTGCTGCTGCTCGTGTTCCTCAACACGCTCACCATCGCCTCCGAGCACCACGGGCAGCCGCCCTGGCTCACCGAGACACAGGGTGCGACCTCCGTGACCCCCCGACAGCCCCCCGTGCCTCTCTAACCCCTC